CCCCAAAACCCCAAAACCCCATGATGCAAATTTTTATGAATTATTGGAATATTATTGATCTAAATATAATAATTGAAATAGTTTTAACTATCAATTGCAGACTTTAGAAATCAAAGATTTACGATCTGTGTGATCTGTTGTATTATTCAAATACTGAAATCAATCAAGAGCCACACTGAATACTTCAATTTCAACAACTTTAAATTGATTTTTTCCTGCTAAATAGTCATTGGCTTCTTCATCCTTATACTTTAAACCTTACTCAGGGTTATATGTACCTCCTAAGCTGCAATAACTGCTATTATTAATATTACAATCATCTCTAATACAAATATCATATCCCCATCCAAATACCATTAACCAATCTTTGTAATGTACAACAGCGTTGTCCTGCTTTTAATACTGCTAGTGAATTGTATTTTTGCTCAAGCTAAATACAAACGCTCTACTATCTTTTATATACTTGCTTTCAGATGTCCAAGGTACAGATGTGTAGCCTCCGAATATTTCTTTGTGTTCACTTTCGATAAAGCAAACAGTAGGGCCTTGATTATCACATAGTTAGTGGAAATTCGCTGCTTTAAATCCATCTCTTGATGCTCTATATAGCAACTTGCATTTACCAGGCAACTTAAAAAGCTTTTTTTTGTTGTTGATATCTACTGTATTGTCAACTAATCTTCTGAAATTCATGAACCTTTGTTCAGGTATTAGTCCTAATAAACTCTTTTCTTAGAAGTTCTTGTACTTGATTTTAAAACTTTTGTAACTCTTTATTTTTATTTTCTAGCAATTATTAGTACTCTTTTGTCAAATTTTTTTATTTAACTTAATTTTCTTTAGCCTAAGAATTGAACTTTTCTTGGAATTCTTTTTATTAATTATCCAACTAATGTTTATTTTCCTTTGATAAACTTGCTTATTTAGCCTTATTTTCTTTCGACTATTGGTCTAATTGTGCTTAGTGTTCTTGAGACATACTATCCAACCTAGCTTCATATTCCTCAGACTAAGATTTTAGCTAAACTTGGAATTCCTCTTTTAGAGAATCTTCTTTAGATTTATATTCATTAGCCATCGTTTTCAATTTATTTTGATTCTCTTTTAACAAAGTATCCAGTTAAGCTTTATATTGCTTAGATTAGGAGTCCAATTTAGTTTAATACTCTTGAGTTTGAGAATTCAATTCGACTTGAGTTTCTTGCTTTTATTTGTCTAGTTTAACTTAATTTTCTTTAGACACAGAGATTAATTTGGCTTGAAATTCCTTGGATTGAGAGTCCAATTTGAGTTTAATTTCTTTTTACTTATTGTCTATTTTAGCTTCATAGTCTTATTACTACGAATTTAACTTATCTTAATACTCCTTATTTAATGATTAAATTTTTTCGATGTTCTCCTTTTACTACGTCTCCAACTTAGTCTCATACTCTTCAGTTTTAGTCTCTAGTAAAGCAGTTGCCTCTCTCAATTGATTTTGAAGATCAGAAACTATTTTTTGATGTTCACTTAGATTTATTTACTCCTCCTTCTCTTAACCTAGAACAGGTGCATGTTTCATATCCTCATTAATGGTTGGATTAGCAACTTTAAAAGTATCACTAAAAATATAAATTAAAGTTAATAAATTACGAGAAATGAGATATAAAGTTTAATATATCTGTGTTAGACTTAAGACTATTCTTTGTAAAATCATCAAAAGCAGAATATTGAAGAATTTAGCATACTTTGATGATCATTTATTAGATTTCATTCACACTAAAGATCCTATTCTTATCTACGAAGGAAATGATATTTCTTATTTGATCCTCAAGTTAGTTTTTTTGATCTTATAGTGCAGGAACAATTTTTCCAAATGATTCATCTAAAAATTTCCTTTCAAAAGCTAAGTGTATTATTCCCTCGAATTAGCATTAAGAGTGTGAATCTGACACGAAGCAGTAGGCACAGATAAGGTTATTTTGCTTTTTGCAGTAAAACTAAACATGATTACCTTAGTGTTCTCCACAATTGATCTGATTGTGTAGTCTTCTTATCATATATTTGAATTCTTTAACAGGTTCATCAACTCCACAGAGATGGCTGCTGTCAAATGGACATTGAATTTGTTAATTCTGAACTTAGTCTTTTTGATTATTGTAGCACTGACTGCAGATTTCGTCTTCACAAGGAAGTATTAGAGGTCTTCTGTCTTCAAGATTGTAAACTTTATTGCAGCAAGGGCAATTAAGGATTTCATTTCCATTTTACTTCATCATTCTTGCTAAAAGATTCTCTTAAATTAATTATGATTATAACAGATCAGGCTTGTATTAAAGTTAAAGTTATATGCAAAATGATAAATTGTTCATTTTTGACCAATTTGATTTCACATTTCTTTTTTTATTCCAAAAACTAAATCAATGGGGTTTTGGGGTTTTGGGG